AACTGCATGCTTTACCAAATTAAGATTACCTGTACATTTAACTATTAACCCCCTTTTGTTATAATGTTTTGTTCTTCAAGACAGGGTTTCTCTGTATAGCCCTGGCTGTCCTGGAGCTTGGTCTGTAGAGCAAGCTATCCCTGATCTCAGAAATTCATCTGCCAACCTCTGCCTCCTCAGTGCTTCTATTAAAATTGTGTGCCACTGAAGACCTTTTTTGTTACAAGTTGTAAGGTAATGTATGTTAAAACCACACTCCCAATGGTCTGCATTTCAGCCACAACTTCAAAGATATCCTAGACCTTGAGTGGAGAAACATGCTTGTAAACAAGAACTGAGATGTGGGATATTAAGAGAGCTCAACATCTGTAATTACATTTAGCCATTTTAATTTTTATGGATATATTTACTTTTATTAAAACAGTTTAAATGCCATGAGATAAACTTGAGTAATCTCTATTTGAAACAATTTACCACTTAACTGTTCCCAAGTGCATAATGCTTTTTTGATTCTTCTCCTTGTCACAGAGTCAGGGCAGAGGCTTTGAGGAGAACTTTTAGTTAAACATGGCTTGGTTATAAGGTGGGTAAGGCACATATCATCTCCAGAGCCAGCTTTTCAATGAAGCATCAGCATATGATGGTTTTCCTAGATTACCCATACCCAAAAGGCATTTGTATCTCTGTAAGACTGAACACAGTGATTTATATATCCATAAGCAGCTTAATTTGTGTGTGTCTGAAGAGTGGGGCAATCAACTTGAAAAGCTTAGCGGGTATTTTTTTTTCTCTTATAAAGACATTAAGGTTAGCCTGGCATAGTGGAGCATACATTTAAGCCCTTAATCCCAGTATTTGGGAGACAGAGGCATGAAGGTATTTGAGTTCAAAGCTAGCCTAGTCTATGTAGTGAGTTCCAGGACAGACAGAGCTACATAGTAAGAACCTGTGTCAGAGGGACAAAGACAGCAAGTTGTAAATAATGTAATCTGTCACCTAGAAGCCATCAAACAGAAAACTATAAAAATACAAGCAGGATTATACAGGGTTTGTGGTGCAGAATGAAAAGCAGACCAAAGATAGAATGACTGCCTTATCTCATTTAGGGGAAGCAGGCTTGGAGACCCTTAAGACCCAGTGTAGCTTCTATCCTCAGTTTTCCTTCCTAATTGCACAGCAAAGGAGCTTTCCAGGCACAAAGTCCCTTCCCTTCCATTGAAAATTTGGTCCTGTACTTCATGATATTTCTGAGCGGAGTCTTGGACTCACTGGCTGGCAAATCTCCAAGATGTCTGGTTTTAGAGAAATAGGAGGAGCTCTGCATTTATTTTTAACAGCTACTGTTCTATGGTCCCCAAAGCCACACTTTGCCCTCTGCTACAAGCAATACTAGGTAGGCCTTCATCTTGCCATTATGGCTTACTTCCTTATAGGCCAGGGGAGTTTCGGGGAGCAAGGAGATGAGTTACTTAATTTCATGCTCTAGGCATGGTTTTAAGTAGGAACTGAGTGGCAAGGATGAGAAGGGTTGAGATGAGCTGGGATTTATATTGGAGTGGAGGGTATCAGATCCATTTCCTCTTATGGAGTTATCTGAATCAGTTTAGATATTACAACTCAATGTTCTGAATGTGGACCAGTAGAGGTCATTATCCATGCATATTGAGGCAAGATTAAGATGAAGACCTGAAGAGGTGGAGTGGTCTAGTCTTCCAAATTGAGGTATTTTAGATTAACATGCAGAGTTAGGCATGGAAGAGGCAATTGAGAAACCATGGCAGATGTGGAACCAAGGTAAAAACAGGGGTCAAATTAAGCCACTTGGGTTTCTGATTGACCAAATATGCCTAGAAGGCCAGAAAGGGATGCTTCATGCCATAGATGCAAAGATAGTTCAACATACTTAAATCCATACATTTAATCCACCACATAAATAGAACGAAAAAAACCTACATAATAATCACATTAAGTGTAGTGTTAAGGACCTCTTTGGGGTCTCTATTTTTGTAACTAAGGTTGACCCTTAGGGGTCACTATCTGTCTTGTAACTAGGTGTTTAATTCCTCATTCCCTCCTTCTGAATAGGCCCATATGCAAAAATGCAAATTATCTGCCCATTGCTGGGGACTTGGGGGCATAGACCTTGATCTGAGTAAATTTCCATGGTGGTTGCTGTTGGTATATAAGCCTACTCTCCTTTGAAATAAATGGCATTCTCCTTGCAAGAGTGACTGGCTGTCTTGTCTGTATTTAATCCTCAGATTCCCTCACCCAAACTTGTGAGAAGGCTGTAGCTGTTACAGCAGTGTAGAAAATAGCTTTGACAAAATTCAACATACATTCATGATAAATTTCTGAAGACATTATGGATCTTAAGAGGCAATGTACAGCAAGCCACAGCCAATATTAGCCTTGAGTCAAAATAACTCAAATAATTTTCAATAAATTATCAGGAAAAAAAACAAGGGTAACCACTCTCTCCATACCTACTAATATAGAATGTGAAGACATAAACCTAGGTTAAGTAAGACAATTGAAGGTAATCAAAGTGATACAAATAGTATGGATAGAACTCAAAGTATCTTTATTTGCAGTTGATATGATTTTATACATAAAATACCATAAAAATTCCACCAGGAAAGTTCTACGGCTGATAAACACTTTGAAAAAAGTAGCAGGACACAAAATCAACTTACAAACCCAGTAGCCTTCCTATGTACAAATGACAAACTGACAAAGAAAGAAGGGAAACAAGACCTTTTGCAATAACCTCATCCATTTTAATCAATGCTTTATTCATACCAGTCAGAAACTGGAAACAGCCTAGATGCTTGGAAATAAATTTATTTATAAGGAAAATGTTTTATATTTACACAATGCAATGTTACTCAATTATTAAAATTGAGATCATAAAATTCATAAAAAAATGATGGAACTAGAAAATAAATCATTCTTAGTGATTAACACAGACACAGAAAGAAAATATGGTATGTATTCACTTAAATGTGGAGATGAGTAGCTATGTCTTTTATAAGCAGGCAACAATGGATATAACAATGAAGGTTTGGTAGACAGTAATGGATTGGAGGTATCTCTTGAAAAAGGTGAAATAGAGTATATGCCTATGGAGGTAAAGGGTGGGAATGATTGAAAGGGTATGAATAAATGTAGAAGGAAGGAGAAAGGAATAAGAGAGGAAATGTGGGATGGAGCTAACACTAAGGAACATTAAAGAGTTCGTATGAAAACTCACTACAGAGAAGCTACATATATATATATATATATATATATATATATATATATATATACAAATGGAAAATGTAGATGGAATACATTAAATAGAACTGGCAGAAGACACACTTCTGATTCCCATTAAAGACTGGGAATATTGTTAATCACTGATTTGGAATTTGTTTTTTCATTCCTTTTGCCATATACATTTCATCATTCTCTATTTTAAAATAATTCAAAAAATTGTATTCCAAGCAATTAAAATTAATTTTCCTTCTTCCTAGATGGTTATAATGTGGGCACAATTATTTATGTTTTAATTTAAATCTACATAGAATCATTACAAATTGGAAGCACATATAAACATATATAAATGCTTCAATATATATAAAACAGATATTCTAATATGTTAATATATATTTCCTTTCCTATGAAATAATTTCCACTGTCTATTGACTTAAATTGTTATAAATAAAATATTTTTAGAACAATAAGTTCTAGTTTAGATATATACTATCATTTGGAAAATTACCTTAAAATAAAGAGGATACACAGTATAATTTAGCATAGTGAGCCTTTCTTTCTAGACTCATTTGTCTTAATTGTATTTTTTGTTTTAAATAATTCCTTTAGTCGTTTGGAATTAAAGTATAAATATATAATTACCCCTACTTTTTTCTCTCTCCCGTTTCATTACATATCTCCAGCTCAACCTGTATATTATTACTTGCATACATGTTTTTAGGACTGACAAATGGATATTATATAACCAATTCATGTGCTCTTCCCTTGGCAATACTATTTCTCCCAATCTCAGCATTCTTTAGATGCCTGTAATATTTCATATACAGTGCCCCCTTGGACTTTCCCACACCCTCATTTTACATGTCTATCATTGTTGCCTTTGTTCAAACCAAGTTGAGGCAGCATGTTGGTGAGACTTTATGGTTGTAGCTTCTGAAATTACAGGTAGATATTGTCTCACTGTCAACTTCCTATTCCTCTGGCTCATATAATCTTTCTCTGCCCTTCTTCCAAAATTGGCCCTGATCGTTTGCCAAAGGGTGTTTTGTGGAAGTAACTCTTGGGACTGGGTTTGACAACTCTGAATATTGATTGTTTGTGATCTCCTTGAGGAGAAATGAGGAGTAAACTTACCTCTGGAATCAAGACAAATATTTAGAATTAATGATTTCCTCTTTGAGATACAAGGAAGGAAGCCTTAGGAGGCAACTTCATAACAGTAAGTGCCTACATCAAAAATTGGAGAAAACTCATATTTATGACTAAATAGACTCCTGAAATTTTTAGAAAAACAACATCAAAAACGCCCAATTTCAAGAAGTATCAAAACTCCGGCCTTAAATCAATAAAATATATACAGGCAAACAAACAAACATAAATAATACAAAAAGTCAGTGAAGTAAAGATTGAGATCTATAAGAAATCAATAAGATTGATAAGTCCTTAGCCAAAAGAGCTAAATGATAGAGAGAAAATATCAAAATTTTAAAAATTAGAGATGAAAAGCAGGACAGAATGACAGACAGTGAGGAATTGTAAGGATATGCTTTAAAGTCTGTAGTGGACCAAACTGGAAAACCTAAAATAAATGAATAATTTTCTGTATACATTCTACCTACAAAAGTTAAATCAAGATCAGATAAGCAACTAAAACAAGTCTAGAATACTCTTCACCAATACTCTTCAATTAATTCTACAAAATGGAAATACAAGGAACATTGACTTATTTTTCTAAGAGTTCACAATTACCCTGATACCTAAAGCACACAAAGACCAACAACAAAGAAAAATGTTACAGATCAATTTTTCTTTTGATCATGGACACAAAAAAAAACTCAATAAATTACTTGCAAAATAAAGAGAAGAACATATCAAAGAAACCATTCACCATGTGATCTGAAGATAATAATTGGTTCGTAATAAGAGGTAGAAGTAGGAATGCTATTTGTAAAATTCACTATCTTAAGTTTTGTGGTACCCACCAGACCTATCAGCCCCACTTGCACATGGAGGGACAGAGGGAAAGCACCAGTGATCACCATATCCAAAGGCCCCAACTGCACCTGGAGGAAGAGGGACTACCAGAGAGAGCTACAGGTACCATCTATACCAACTGGAGAAGAAGGATCCCCTAAGGCTCTGGCTTCACATGAACCAACTGGAGGAAGAGACGGGTAGATAGCAGTATAAAAATAAATTCAGCCACCCAAAATGCAATCCAGGACCACAAAAAACTAGTGGTTGTACATTAGCAAAAAGTGAATACCCCAACACAGAGGGATCAGAAGAAAATTACCTTTAAAATAACTGTATGAAGATGATAGAGGCCCTTAAAGAAGAAAGAAGACAAAAGACAAACAAATAATAGAAAAAGACAAACAAAATATTGGATGAAATCCATAAATCTCTTAAAGAAATAAAAAAAAGCAATCTAACAGGTAAAAGAAGCAATTCAAGACTTTAAAATTAAAATAGAGGCAATAAATAAAACACAAACAGAGGGGATTCTGGAAATGGAAAATCTAGGTAAGTGAACAGGAACTACCTATGCAAGTATAACCAACAGAATACAAGAGATGGAAGAGAGAATCTTAGGATTTAAAGATATGAAAGAGGAAACAGATTTATTGGTCAAAGAAAATGTCAAATACAACAAATTATTAGCTCCAAACATCTAAGAAATCTGGGACATCATGAAAAGAAAAAAATAAGAATAACATGGAAAAAAGAAGGAGAATTCCAGCTGAAAGGCACAGGAATTATATTCAACAAAATCAGAAGAAAACTCCAACCTTAAAAAGGATATGCCGATAGATGAAGCTTACAGAACACCAAATAGACAAAACCAAAAAATGCCCCTTGATGTATAATAATCAAAACACTAAACATACAGAATAAAGAAACAGTATTAACAGCTGGAAAGTAAAAAGAACAAGTAATGTATAAAGGCAGACCTATTAGAATTACACCTTACTTCTCAGTGGAAACTCTGAAAGGCAGAAGGTCCTGGAAGACACCAAGAAACTATGGATGGCAGCCCAGAAAACATTACGCAGCAAAGCTTTCTATCAACATAGATGGAAAAAGATATTCCATGACAAAACCAGATTTAAATAATACCTATCCACAATCCAGTCTTACCAAAAGTACTAGAAGGAAAAATCCAACCCAAGGAAGCTAGCTGCAACCACAGAAACACAGGCAATAGATAACCTCACACCAGGAAACTTCAAAGAATTGAAGCACACAAGCGTTACCACCACCACAAACACCAAAACCAAAACTAAAAGGATTTAGCAATCTCTAGTCATTAATATCTCTTAATCAATGGACTCAATTCACCTATATAAGACACAGGCTAACAGAATGGATATGAAAACAGAACCCATATTTATTATGCATACAAGAAACACACCCCAACCTCAATTACAAATATTACCACAGAGGAAAGGGATTGGAAATGGTTAACCATTCAAATGAACTTTAAAAACCGAGCGGTGTAGCTATCTATATAGCTCACAAAATAGACTTCAAACTACAGGTAATCAAAAGATATGGAGAAGGACATTACATACTTATCTCTCCTAGGACTTCTAATCTCAACAGTGGGAAAATCAGTCTACACCCTCATCAGTTTCAGCCCTATGCCACTCAAGTACCATAGTGGTTGCTGGAATTTTCTTACTAATTAGATTCCACCCATTTATCTCTAGAAGCAGTCTGACCCTAACTACCATACTGTGCCTCGGTTCAACCACCTGATTTACCACAATCTGTGTCCTGACCTAAAATAATATCAAAAAAATTTAGCTTTCTCCACATCTAGTCATCTAGGACTAATGATAGTTACAGTAGGAATTAACCAACCCTAACTAACCTTCCTCCATATCTGCAATCATGCAACTTTAAAGCCATATTATTTATGTGCTCTGGATCAATTATTCACAGCCTAAATGATGAACAAGACATTTGAAAGATAGGTGAATTACCAAAACCCCTACCATTAACATCATCAAGCCTTACTATTGGTAGCCAAGCCCTTACCGGAATACCTTTTCTCAGAGGCTTCTATTTAAAAGACATAATCATAAAAGCTAAAAAATACATGCTATACAAATGCCTGAGCCCTTCTAGCCACCTCACTTACAGCTGCTTATAGTTTATAAATTATCTACTTTGCCTTAAAAACTAAACCTCATTTTCCACCACCAATTATCTTAAACGAAAATGACCCCCAAAACTCATAACCCCAACTAAATCACTAGCCCCAGGAAGCTCTTTGCAGGATTTATTATCTCACATAATATCCTTTTACCTCCACTCAAGTAATACCTATACCATAATATCTAAAAACTACTGCAATCCTAGTTAATCTTGCAGGCTTTACTATTGCCTTAGAACTGAATGATCTAATTTATAATCTAAATATAAACAAACCCTCACCAGCTAACTCATTCTCCACATCATAAAACTATTTTACATTAACTCTTCATCATCTGATTTCTATAAAATCAGTAACAATAAGCTTCAATACAGCCCTAAACACCCTCGACCTTATATGACTTAAAAAAGGTATTCCAAAAATTATTTCTAGCACAAACTCCCTGGCTTCCCAAACCCTCAGTAATCAAAAAGGCTTAATTAAACTCTACTTCTTATTCTTTTTAATTACACTATTATCAATCCCAATTCTACTAATTAGTTTTCCCGTATAATCTCAATAATAATAAAAATTCCTATAAACCAAGTCCAACCAGAGACCACCGTTAATCATACAGAATGGCTATATAATGCTGCCAGCCCAGCCCCTCCCTCTCCCATTAAACCCAACTCTTCTCCATCATAAATAATTCAACCACCTATACTACTAAATTCTAATACTATCTCTGCTCCCTCATAGTATTTAGTTACAAACATCATTCTCAATTCTATAAATGTACTTATTACCAAAATTCCAAAAATCAATCAACTTGATAGTCAAGTCTCAGGGTACACCTCCACTGACACAGCAGTTGTTTACCCCAAAACAACCATTATTCCACCTAAATAAATTAAAAATACTATTGACCCCCAATCATAATCTATACATATAATAAATAATGTAATAATTATATATTATATAATATATAACAATGTATATTATATAATTAATATTATATATATTAATATATTAGTAATCTAACGAAAACTGGAAAGGTGCCAGGAAGTAGTCAATTGATACTATACAGTGTTAATAATTCAGAAAATAGTAAATTATCTGGTGATACCTTGTTTGTACAGATAAAGCCTGTCTGAGAGTCAATGAATGGAGCTTGCCACTAGCTAATCATAGGGTTCTGGAGGTCTGTACACACAGAAGGAAGTGAGATAGCTTGGCAGAAACAGCATAAAATAGCAATATTACTTTTCAGAAATGATTTCACAGCTGGTTCTCTGGAGAGTTTTTGTCTTACTTCCCCATGATTCTCATCACTGTGGAGATAGTTATTATCAGAAGAGAGACAGAAGTATTCAGCCTCATCTTCAATCTGCAGATAAGTGATCGTCAGTGAGGCTGAGTTGGAGGAGCTGTCAATGGAGCCAGAGAACCTATCAGGAACCCCAGATGGTCTTTTATTGTCATTATAGATCACAGTTTTGGGCGAGTTTCCAAAGTGCTGCTGGTACCAGTACACATAGTTATCTTCAATGTTGCCACTGCTGCGCTTGCAGGAGATGGTGACTGTTCTCCCTAGAGACTCTGACACAGACTTTGGCTGAGACAGCACAAACTGGGCACATGATCCTATAAAAAATAAAGATAATAAAATCAGTAAGGACAAGCAAACTTCATCCCAAACAACACTTGCTTTTTACAGTAACTGCCCTTAAATCCAATTACCTGTTAAGTGATGGAGGAAGATATACAACAGTGGAGCCCAAGTCATGTTGAAGGCACCCAGATTCTGCTTCCTGAGTCCAGTTGACTGACTGTAGATGGGTACCCCTTCTTATTTGTCCCTGGGGTAGGATGACTCCATGCAAATACCCCTCTTCCTGGGGAGGTACAGGCCCCTCCTTTTACTTCAGGCTGGTTCAGACTAAGAAATGGAAAGACTACATATGGGGAGGTTGTGGGCTCCACCAAGTGTCAGGACAGAAAAACTGGGAAGCAAAGAGAAAACATCAGAAACTGGGGAGTAATAGGCAGGTACTTAGCCATATCAACTCCCAAGGTAGCCATGTCCTAAAGTCTTAGGTGTGACTGTTTGTCACCCTCCTGACAACAGTGAGACCATTTGGGAAGTCATATAGCTCTATCTGGACTCTGAGTGGAACCAGAATTTTCCATTAGTATGATTTTGTACATGTCAGTGAAGGCAGTGAAAAACCTACTTAGAGAATCAATTCCTGGTTTGATAGGCACCCCCTTTTTTACTGTAGAAGACCAGAAGTTGTAATGGTGGTCATATCCAGGTAAGAACTTGTTACCTGGCTGAAATTTTTGAGGAAAGAATGCAATTAAGCAGTTAAAAGTTATTGCTGTTCCCATAGAGGTAGTGGTTTTCATTCCATGCCAGATAACTCATAACCATCTGTATTTCCAGTTCTGGGGGATCAGATGCCCTCTTTCGGGATCCTCAGATTCCAAGATACACTTGTGACCACACAAACACAAGTGCACACACTGTCCATACAGAGATAGATTTCCATCTGCTGTCCACATATAGGGTCTAAAGGAACAGTGAAATTGTAGCTGCTGAAATCTCCAACTTGCATTCTAAGGGAATCCCTTATATAAAAGTTAAAAATTTGTAGTGTTTGAAGAACATATCAATAGAGAAGAAGACATAAAATTGTATATGCTGACACAAAGCTCTTGACCTTGAAAATGTTTACTTTCTAAGTCTTTATTATATACAAAGTAGGTACAGCCCATGAAAATATTTAGATTCTTTTGTTGGTAGAAATATTTTCCTGAACAATGACTTTTGGGATAAAAAAAGGAAGTATAAAAATGAGTTATGAGTTCACTACTCATGTGGCCAATGGGACCAAGGAGCAGGAAGTAGATCAGAGGGTAGCTCTTGGGTAATACTCTTCAAAGGCATCAGCACATGTGCAAGTGTGTGAAAGAAAGTAGTGATCTCTGGATGACATGGAATATCTTGTATTCTCCATCTATAGTGATTGAAAGCTTTGCTGGATACAGTAGTCTGGGCTGGCATCCACGTTCCCTTAGCTTTCGTAGAACATCTATCCAGGATTTTCTGGCTTTCAAAGTTTCCATTGAGAAGTCGGGTGTAATTCTGATAGGTCTGCTTTATATGTTACTTGGCCATTTTCTTTTGCTTCTCTTAATATTATTTATTTATTCTGTAAGTTTGTTTTTTTGATTATTATGTGGCAAGGGGACTTCTTTTGTGGTCCAATCTATTTGGTATTCTGTAATCTTCTTGTACTTTCATAGGTATATCATTCTGTAGGTTGGGGAAGTTTTCTTGTATGATTTTGTTGAATACGTTTTCTGTATCTTTGAGCTGATTTTCTTCACCTTCTTCTATACCTATTATTCTTAGGTTTTTGTCTTTTCATGGTGTCCCATATTTCCTGGATATTTTGTGTTAGTGATTTGTTGGACTTGAGATTTTCTTTGGCCAATGACTATATATCCTCTAGGGAGTCTTCAACACCTGAGATTCTCTCTTCCATCTCTTGTATTCTATTGGTTATACTTACATCAGTGGTTCCTGATCATTTGCTTATTTTATCAATTTCCAGCATCCCCTCATTCTGTGTTTTCCTTATTGTTTCTAATTCTGCTTTCAAACCATGAACTGTTTGAATTATTTCCTTTACTTGTTTGGTTGTTTTTTTTCTTGGCTTTCTATAGATTCTTTAAGATATTTATTTCCTGAATGTTTTGTTTTGTATTTTCCTCCATTTTATGTAATTTTTGCTTGTATTTTCCTCTATTTCTTTAAGGGATTTTCTTGTTTTCTCTTTAATGGTCTCTATCATCTTCATAAAATAATTTTTAAGGTCCATCTCTTCTTCATCCTTTGTATTGTGCTTTTCAGTTCCTGCTGGTGTGGAGTCCCTAGATTCTGGTGGTGTCATATTGGTATTTCTGTTGTTGAGTGTGTTCTTATTCTGTCCTCTTCCCATCCTTTCTTCCAGTGGGTACACATGGGGTCTCTGCATCTCTTCTAGTCTCCTCAAGCAAAGGTCTGGGGTGTGTCCAGACTCAGGGTGGGCCTTCCGGTCTGGATGGGTCCACTCTACTCAAGGTGCAGGCTCAGGAAGAAGGGATTAAAGGGTTATGTGGGAAGTTGGGTGCAGGGCAGTGCCCAAACTCATCTCAAGCAGTAGGCAATGAGCAGAGGGCAGAGGGCAAAGGGGGAGCAAAGGTGAGGTGTGGCAAGAAGTAGACAACAGGGTAGCTCTTGGGTAACACTCCTCAACAGCATCAGCACCTGGACAAATGTCTGGAAGGAAGTAGTGATTACTGAATGACTTGGTCTTGCCAATAGCACAGTCCTTTCAGGATCAGCTCATCACTGCCCCCTAATGGGCATGAGCATGTGCTGCAGAAGTATTCAGAATGAAACTGCTTCTTCCATGGAAGGAACTGAAGCAGGGTTAAAGGAACATGGGTAGGCAGGAAAGTCAAACCAGGCTTCCTGAATCTGTCACTTCTTCTTCTTCCTAGAAAACTCTTCAAGGGGAAACACATACAAAACACGGGGATGGGTTTCAACCCAGAACCAGTAGAGGAAATGGAATACTCAAGGACCCTGTAAGGAACTCAAGCAAGAATCTATTTAACAGACATTCATTCTTCTCCAGTCCTGAATACATAAAGCTGTCACTGTCCTCTTCTACATAGATTAGTCTGTTTTTCACGGTCATTCTTTTTTTTTTTTTTTTTTTTTTTTTTTTTGCTATGCCAGAGCATGACCTTGGCACCTCTCTGAAAATCAACCAGGACTCCAGTTACATGCCTTCTGGTCTCTCATCTAGGATTGGAGATGTACTCTTCTCAAGGTGCTTTATGTGACTAAAAGTCTTAGAGACAGTTATAAACAGGCATAACCCATTGGCAGTACAAAGCCTGTTCATCACTAAATTACATTCATCCACAACTGCATGGTGAGAAATTCAGTCATCCCCCACCTCCACTTAAAGTTTGGAGTAGGGACTGAAGGCATGGTTTAAACAAGTCCAGAAGACACAAATTAATGATAAATAGGTATCTATTAGGGAAACACTTACACAAATAAAAGTAAATAAATATTGTGGTCTTTCTGATCCAGAATATGTAGTCTCTGCCCTTCTGAGGCTCTCATTGCAAGCCCAGATAACAAGCCGGTCCCTCCTCTACCTAATAAGGGTTCATATCTGAACACCTGAAGCCCCATTCATAGGGTGTGGCCACCTCAGCAAGTTCACTGGCAAAGCAAGATGCCACTATATTTCCCCTTTTGTTCCAAATAAGAGGGTATTAAGCTTGATACAAAAACTATATACAATGGTAGCAAACATGAATTGTAGTGCAGAAGAAAAAAGTTAAAAACATACACAAATTTAGACCTACGGCAACATGAAGCAAGAAACAAATACTAGACATACAGTACCAAGGTATTGGCATATAACAGAGATTACTCCAATAACTGTTCTATTCTAAAAAGTGTAAGTCGTGTACCTAATATATTCTACCTAAGAAAAGAGAGGATATTAGCTGTGACTATCTAGTCTTCAACCTCATCAAAAACCTGAGAAGGAAAATAACATTACTAGAATAAGTAGGAAGTACAAGCAGATGACTTTCTAAAGGTACAATAAGTGACAGAAACAGAAGTCTACCTGGACAGTCACTCATTCTCTCACAGTAATGTGGGGGAAACCAACTTTGCCTATTTGTAATACTGTCCTACATTGACTTAGAAAGGATCAGCAGTCTCTTTATGTTTGTCTTCTGCTAGCCCAGTTAGGACAGCATGTCCAAAGTCAGTGGTTGAGGCAGGGGCACTTCTTTCTCAAAAGTTCACTATTGCTAAAAAGAAAATGAACTCTAAATGTGGTGTCTTTGGTGCCCATCATACTCTTGGGAATAGCTTGGTGCTGTCAGGAGCAATTGTGTCTCCTGTTAACAAAATTCTATATTATTAAAACATTTAAAAACTATATTTTGTAAGTGTTTGAAGTTTTAGGAGATCATATATCCATGTTGGTACACCTTTGAGCACATAGAGAACCTGACTAGTATTGTAAGTTATAAGAATCATGGGTAACTAAATCTGTATTGCTAAACATGTATTGCTTACTGACTGAAGGTGCCCAAATATAATTTAAACAATCTTTAAAACAATGTGCAGCATAAGGACAATGACCTCAAATTTGTAACTAAATACATATATATGTAAATCCATAAATCAGAGGTAGAATTGAAATGTCTTGAGCTGAGGGAAAACTGTAGAGAGCAACATGATAATAATATCCTAAATTTCATCAGGATACAAAAGGTCTTAAGCATCCAATATGTTAAAGATTACATTTGTGTGTAAAAACATTGTAAACAGAAATACGATCCTACATAGCATGACAAATATAATCACAAGTTTGAAACAATATGAAAATTAACAGGAGACAAGAATAGAAAATTAATTTTACATAAGTTTCAATATACAAGAATCCTTGAAATTGTGGTTGTCTATAGCTAATAGTTGCTAAAATTGTTCAAAAAAGATATTCTAATCTACCTATATCCCATCCCAACATTCCCTTTGTATTTTTCTAAAACATATTCCTGAGTCTGAATGTCATTTTCCATTCTCAACCCTATACAACTTAAAACAATGCCTTATAAGGGGAAAATTGCCAATATTCTAGGAAAAAACTAAAACTACATCTAAACAACTGTGGGAAAAGGGGTGTTGTTTTCTTA